TGGAATGGTGTGCTGGAGAAGTGTGAAAAGAAGCTAGCAAATTGGAAGAATCAATATCTATCTATAGGGGGAAGGCTAATCTTGATTAACTCTGTTCTTGATGCCATGTCAACCTATATGATATCTCTATTTCCAATGCCAATTAATGTAGTGAAGAGAATAGATGCATTAAGAAGAAATTTCCTATGAGAAGGCAACAGTGACACGAAGAAATTCCACCTGGTCAAGTGGAACTCTCTTACTACTAGCAAGAAGATAGGGAGATTAGGAATCAAAGATCTAAGAATTAAGAACCAGAGTCTGATGATGAAGTGGCTATGGAGATTTGCGGCAAAGGAGCAAACACTGTGGAGAGAGGTAGTTAGGGAGAAATATGGAATGGAAGGAAAATAGACAACCAAACCAGTGAGAAGTCCATATGGTGTCAGTGTATGGAAGTCAATTAGGAACTTGTGGCTAAAAGTGATTGACAAGACAAAGTTCAAACTTGGGAATGGTAGGAAGATTTCCTTGTAGGAAGACAACTGGCTAGGCCAAGGCCCTTTGAAGCTACTCTTTCCTGACATATACACCTTGAATCAACAACAACAAGCAACTTTAGATGAGGCATGGACTAATCAAGGTTGAAACCTTACATTCAGAAGACTTCTAAATAATTAGGAAATTGATAGAGCAATTGAGTTTTACAGGACCCTGGAGCTATTCACTGGAACCAACTCTAATCAAGATCTCATCATATGGCAAGGGAACAGGAAGGGGAAATTTTCTGTTAAGTGTGCATATAAGGAATTCAACCTGTCAAACAACCAGGTTGGTTGTTGGCCATGGAAGATGATATGGAAAGTGAAAATCCCCTATAAGGTTGCTTGCTTTTCATGGCTACTAGCAAAGGAAGCGGTTCTAACTCAAGATAATCTAAGTAAAAAAGGATTTACTTGTGTTCTAGATGTTACTTGTGTGGAGAGGAGGCAGAGACACTTAATCATCTCTTTTTGCATTGCAAATTCACTATACAAATATGGAGAATTTTTATTAGCTTAAGGGGAATTGTATGGGCAATGCTGAGAAGAATTTTTGATGTTCTAGCATGCTGGAATAAAGAGGGCGATCTTTCTAGCTATAAAGAGAGATGGAGCATTGTTCCAACCTGCATTTGGTGGACAATCTGGGAAAAGAGAAATCAGAGATATTTTGAAGACAAGTCCAGTAACATCCAGAAGACAAAGATGAAGTGTCTAGCTTTTTCTATTTTTGGTGTAAAGGAAAGTCTTTAGAGGATCATGAATCCATCTTTGATGTTCTAGATTCCTTGTGAGAAGACCAAGGATCATATGTGCTTTACTTTCTTTTTTTTGGGCTCTCCTATGTAATTATGGGTGTCTTCACAAATTTAGTGAAGAGTATATATTAATATACAAATATGTTACCTTCTCAACAACAAAAAAAATGTATGAAGCTATACTTTTTTTTTATTACTTCAAAAGAGATTTGGACTATTCAAAATGTATGAAATTATTAAAACATTTGACTTAGTGGTGAAAAGTAAAATTACTAGGTGATAAATGTTTTTTAAAATATTATGTAAAATGGCAGAGATGCGTGCAAAATGCCTTGAACACCTTAAACATGTTAAGATAAAAACATATACGAATATTATTAACCTGTGGCTCTAGGTTTCCTGTGTTGTTTTGTATAACATCAATCTTTTATATCACTGGTATGATAATGGCTTTCAATTGTTGCTGGACGATCCAATATAGACGAGCAAGAAACATTATACTCTTACACTGATGCTCCATAACGATCCTAATTACATGTTTAGATCTTTTTGTTTCTTATTTACATCCTGGAAATATGATTTTTACGTATCTTTTCAAAACTTAGCCAACTTACTACCACCGGGACACAATGCACGACTTGGACATGCACTCAACCACGCTCACTTTTTGAGGGCTGTTGGAGATCATGCGCTGCTGCTTTTCAGATAGCTAGCTTTAGCGGTTAAGTTTTAAGCTTTAGGTTTTTGTGCAATTTGCATACTTTGTAATCTAATCTCTTTTTTAATAGGAAGTCAAAGCTAACAATGAAGCTGAAGCTTTAGACGGAGAAGTTCAAACAGGAGTTCATCCAGTAGAAGATATAAGATGTAACAATAACAACATTGACAACAACATGACAGAGAGAAGAGACCAAGAGAGGTCAAGATAAAAGATAAAACCCCGGATCTTGGAACTAACAAAGGAATATTGAGATTCACAAGAGGGATTTTTGTTTTTACTTCACGTCGTGTACTTTAAACAACGTGTCCTTGACAAAAGATAAGCTTGCCGCAACTATCTATTACCATAAATACCAGGAGAAAATGCATCGGAGTGTTTTCATTCATTAATAGAAGGCCCTTCTGGTTTATTTCAGAGTGTAAATGCAATAGGCATATTCTCATCTATCGCAGCTGTACTGTTATTACTCTTATCTAATGTCAAGGATAAACCAATTGAGCTTTCCCGAAAGAAATCCAAGATTATTCATTGTAGGGTTACCTTTCTTTATGTAGATAATTATACACTTGAGATATGCTTACAGGCATTAGGCCTTTCAGTTGAAGCCAATTTAACTTGTCTTTGTCCATTTATGGTCCAACCAAATTTCTTCGGCTAAGTCATAATTTTGTTCATTAGCAGTAAATAACTTTTTGTATTTGACAGGAATTGATTTTATCTTTTTGTTCCTCTGCTCTGCTATTTCAGAAACATGTCGATCCAATTCTAATCTCTCGAAAACAAGAAAAAGACATTAGTTTGAATTTTACCTTGGGTTTTATATTTATATATTTGGATTGATTAAATTATTATTTATATAATAATTCAATATATGTGTGTTTTACATATGACTATATATTTTGGTACCATTCTGTATTTCAATTTTTTTAAATGTATAACATACCGAATACGGAAGTTTAAAAAATTTATACAGAATATTGTACCAAATACCAAAATATCAATTCGAAATACTAATATTTTTTATTTTAATTCAATTTTTACGAAATTATCCACGCTCCTAGTGGAGAGAGAAAATCATGTTTTAAGTTTGATGGTGTTGAGTCTGTTGGCTGAAACAAAAGGTATCTGAAAAATGAGTTGATTTATTTTTGGATTTGCCTAATGAATATTATTTCTTCCATGATGCAGGAAACAAGTCCAAATGTAGTGAATTCCATTTCCCATGGTCGTGAAAAATGTAGTAGTCAGATTCTGTTGTCCATAGTATGGCATTGCTTAGATTTCATTCTTATAACATGTCCTTCAACAATTGTCGCAAAGGAGTTATATCAATTTAACATTGTCAAAAGAGATGAGATACGTACTCCTCTTTTCCTAGTGGATGTTGGGGTAGATCTGTAAATAGCCTAGTGGCATTTCAATGGCTAGCGATTATAATCCGCAATGCCAAGGAGATGCTAATGAATCTCTCAGACTGATATAACCATTAGTAATTGGCAAAATACATAAGTTGCTACCTAACCTTTGGCCCAAATCCCCCTTACACACTTTCTGTGGACGATAATAACATTACACACGCAACCTTTCTAAAGTGTATCTAGTACATACCTCTTTTGACCAAGTAAGTTTCACGCAAAAGGAGCGCGTGAAGAGGTGAAAAACGAGAATCTGCATGATTATTTGAACGTTGTAGATTTAAATTAATTGACCCAATGGTCTAAATAATTTTTTTCCTTTTTATCCTTTTCTACCTTTTATTATTTCACACAAAATACAAAAAGAAAAAACAAAAAAACATAAACACTAATACCTCCGTCCGATCGTCCCCAACCCCTATTCCGGCAAACTGACAAACTGGACGACTTGAGCAAGATTTTGATTTCTATTCACCGTGGTCTTTTATATCTTCACCTGTGCTTTTCTTTAATGCCATGGATTTTACAGTAAACCCCTCTTCTTTTATGTCTTTTGCTTGTCGGAAATGGAGTTTTGCTTACTCCGGCCTGTGAAAAGTTTGGATATTTAGCCAGAATATTTTTGATGAGTATTTTCTTGTGGGTTTTATCTTCCATGGCTGCTGAGGTTTAGAGGAGAAACAATTGCACATTTTTACCAAATCAGAAGCAAGATTAACAGAATCAATAACCAAAGAATTCCAACTAGTAGCTTCTTTTAGGCCAAAATACCATTGACATTAGGAGACTCATCCCTAATAGTAGCATGACATTTAGGGGTTGTAGTTGAAGAAGAAACAACAGTAAAGATGATGAGGGGTTTTGGGGGGCGGGGGGAAGATAAGAGATGGATGGGTCGGGTGGGGCAGTAAATAAGGGTTAAGGTAAAAACAAAAGGGTCGGGTTTAATAATTTCAAATGGGCTAAAGTCAAACGCGTGCATTATACGGATATATTTTTTGCTTGTCCTGGTCAGAAGAGGTGTATACTAGATACACTTTAGAAAGGTTGCATGTGTAATGTTATTATCAAACACAGAAAGTGCGTAAGGGGAATTTGGACCAAAGGTTAGGGGGCAACTTATGTATTTTACCTTAGTAATTTGACCATAAGTTGCCAATTGTGTGTTGAAAGCCGAGAACTAACTATACTCCTCCTCGTGAAAAATATGAGTTTAGGAGGCTTCGAAAGATCTTAGAAGCAAATTTTCATTTTATGTTTTTGACACAAATATTATCCGTTAAACTCATTGAACAATTAAAATTATGGAACTAGGGTCAAATATATATTGGCAACTAGAGTCAATGATGCATGAAAGACCACCAGAAAGAAAAAGAGAAGGGAGAGAGGTTGAGCATGAACAAGTAAGCCTATAGTAATGCCAGGGAGTATTACTTTGAAATCTTCGCCTCAAACAGCCAACTCTGACTCTTTTAGAACAAATAAAAAATAAAAATCAAACACTCACAAACAACAAACTGAAACAGCTAAGTCGATGCCACCAGCAGTTGCCGTCAAGCATCTTAAATTCACGAGAAAAAGAAGGCAACGATAATAATGGCAAATATATTGATTCGGTATATAGCAGACTTCGCAGGGAAAGAAAATCACATTATTCTTTGGCAAATGGATGGCCATAACTTTCCTCCGAAGTACAGAAAAGGTTACAACTTCATCGCACTTGAGCAACAACAAGAAAGCTTGCTGGTACTTTTACTTGTATAACATATCCATTATAGAAATAGTTTTAGATCCAAGGCTATCCACTGTGAATGACGGGGGATTGAATTACTCCACATGGAACGATAGAAAGATTCACACGGATTGAGAAGAAAGAGAACAAAAACAAAAGTATAACGGAAACTGTAAGAAGTTAAAGTGCACTCTGTTTCATCCATGTCATTCGTCAAACTCATGCATATGATCCAAGAGATAGTTTGCAGCCAGCTCCTCATTTTTGTTGCATGCAAAAAATACTTGCAATACCAAAGCTCGATCGAAACCCATAGCTTCAAGCTGTTAAGATCAACACCACCAAGCAGAAATAGACAAGCACTATCATGTCAGAATAAAATTTCATGTCCGCTAAAGCCTATGTTGCGCGGACTCTCCAAAATGTAGCCGCACCCGTGTCGGATCCTTCAAAAATGCACTACTTTTGGAGGATCCGACACGTATCCAGCCATATTTTCGGAGAGTCCGAGCAACATAGGTGCAAATAATCTTGGAGAATTCAGTCTTGCACATTTACTTGGAATTGTATATTTACAGGATTTATGCACAGACGNACCACCAAGCAGAAATAGACAAGCACTATCATGTCAGAATAAAATTTCATGTCCGCTAAAGCCTATGTTGCGCGGACTCTCCAAAATGTAGCCGCACCCGTGTCGGATCCTTCAAAAATGCACTACTTTTGGAGGATCCGACACGTATCCTGCCACATTTTCGGAGAGTCCGAGCAGCATAGGCTAAAGCTAGTGTAACTGCAAAAGTAAAATTTGGAAAGCCAAGTAACATCCATCATAGTTTGCCGCTTTACAATAATGATTATAATGAAATCTCAAGTAACATCCAAGAAGTTCTCTCCTTTCTCATAATGATTTCACGATCATTGGAAACTCAAGTCAGAGATGCTATGGCTCTGTATTACGTAAAAGCACAGTATAGTTTCAACAAACATTCATGAAAAGGCAACAGTGATTACTCTGAAGTTGACATTCCACTCCTATAGGGAAACTGTTATGAAATGAACTAACTCTAACTGAACCTGAAACCATGTGGTACAACCTAAAAGATAAATGAAGAACTTACTCGTTCGATAGCCTCACGCTCTTCAGGTGTGACAGTCACAGCTTGTGGTATAGCCCCTGCCGGCTGCCCGGGCACATTCCTGATAGCACCACATAAGTGACAAAGTAAACCTCACATACACATGAGATGCTGAAGAAAGGATTTCAGACAGCTAGAAGCTAAAGTAACTGAGCCTCATATGCATCCTTCTCCCTAATGCAAAACAAGAAGTTCTCACCCCTCGCTCTCAACAGGTTCATTGATGAGGCGCAGAAAGTCAGCTTGGTGTTCTTGAATAAGCCGCATCAATTGAGGATTTTGCTTACCCAACTCCTGGAGCATAGGCTGCAAAGTAAAAGGAAGTCATGGTTCCAGAAAACATTTGTAAATGGTTTGGGCAAACAAAATTAAAAGCCAGTTTGTGTTGATGTGTATGTGTATGCGTGTGATACCTGCAATATCTGCGGGTTTGCTTGCACCATTGCTCGAAGGGCTTGAAACTGTTGATGGAAAAAAGAGGCTATAAAATTATGCTTACAAATTTAATAACCAATTTTACAAAGGCAGGATGTGCACCTGTGGACTATTGCTTAAGAAATCTAAATTTCCAGCTCCAGCATTGGAACCGACATTTGGAAGGCCCTGATGGTAATTTTGTGATAATTTTTAGCATATTGAATAACTACAGCATAAATTCAAATATTCTGGTAGATTTCACCACCTGAGGAAAGAGATCTAAAGGATTAGCGTTTGGGCCACCGGACGGAACTGCCGGCTGTGAAGCCTGAACCGGAGGATTTACTGCCTGTCCGCTGGCAGGAGCAAGAGCAGGAGCAGGAGCAGCAGGTGGAATTTCTGCTTGCTCAGGAATACCCTAAAAGATATTAGTGTACTTTAAAGTCAATTAAAAGATATGATTATACAAGACAAGAAAATACTAGCTAGCATAACACACGAGCACTAACTGCCAGCAGAATGTGAACATTTTCTTACTTTCTGAAGTAACTCTATTCTCTGGGCAAAGTAACTACAGGAGAATATGAAGCTTCAGGAATACAACCAGAGAAGGGCATTGTGATGCACAAAGTAAAGAAGAATCAATCAATTAGCTATGCCTCAATCTCAAACTAGCTAGGGTAGGGCTATATAAATTCTGTATATCCGGTTATAAAAAACAATCATCTACATTCATCCACTCTACTCGGTCTATTTCATTCAAATACTAAATAGTTTGCCTTTCAAAATTAGGGATTCTCAAAAACTACAGGTTCCCCAACTAGTTGGTGTTGCTTGTACGATCCTTGGCTTCCATTATGTTTCGTTCTTAAGCTAAAACAATGGGGAAATTTTTAAGTATGGTCCCAAGGTCATAACATGAAGAAAGAGGATAAAGCCTGCAACAGCAAAAGTGACGAAGAACATGGAAAAAATACCTCAAACATAGCAAAGATAGCAGCCAAGAAAAAGAAACAAAAGAGAGAGAGAGAGAGAAATCGATCATACAGGAAGGGGGTGGTGGTGATATGATAAAACAGTACACAAGACAATATTTAGTACAGTTGCACACCCAACACATGGATAAATTCTCCTAGTCCACAGTTTAAGAGACTTAGAAATGATTGTCAGCCAAAACTGAAAGTGCATAACTCACAGAATACAAGTATTCAATAGCTCTCTCTGGATTGTTAAATGCAGCACGTAGAGCACGAATAACCGTATCCCGATCCCAACTTCCACCACCCATATCAAGAATCTGTTGAACTGTAGCTTCTAAGGTACTTCCGGCAACAAGATTCGATGCCGCTTGGCCATACACATCTGTCACAGGACTGTTTGACAAAGAAAGCATTATAAAACATGACCTAACTAATCGCATATCACCAAAAAATATTTTTTTAGTCCAAGCATATCATATGCACTCACTTAGAGGAAACTGGCGCAGCGGCAGGAGTAGGAGCAGACTGAGGAGCAGATTGTGCACTAAAAAGCAGAAAGAGAGCTTAAGCTTAAGCTAACTAAACCACAAAGATAAAAATTGATTCCAGGTATCTTCCAACAAACAGCAACAATAAAAACTCACGGCGCCAGGCTTGCAGCAGTTGCTTGAGGTGCTGTTACAGTCTGTGTAGGTTGGCCAGTGGAGGTTGCAGGTTGGGCCTAGTCAAACAGATATCATCAGCTTCCAAATAACCATTCTAGATTCATATAATTATCTTCAAATGGTTCACAGCATAAGATGTTACACTTCAGGTGCTATAGTCATTTCACAAGCCTCAGCAAAATCATTCTCTTTCAGCACAAAGTTCAGCTACAAAACTCATAAACCAAACATGTGTCTCCACATATACACGTACAGGTGTAAGTTACAAGAACAGTCATCATTCAAATATATAAGGAAGGTAATTATCACAACTATATCTATATCTATAGACACTTAAACTTGCCCCCAATTTCCATTTAGACACCTTATTTACGGGTCTGACCTATTGCACACTTTATATTACTAAAAAGTGTGCCAATTGAACTCTTCATTAACAGTACACCAAAGAATCCAAACGCGTGATATTCAAATACTAATGACATGGCAATGAAGCAAATCAAAATCTGACACGACAATAAAGTAAAGGAAAAAAGAAAGGAAAAAGTCACATTAGCTTTTGCTTCTTCTGGGACAGGAAAATTTTGCTTGGTGAGTTGGAGAACTTTGAGAGCGTGATTTTGGGTTTTATAGGCGCATTAACGTTGAGGAGTTTGAGGGGGCATTGCGGCAAATGAGCAGGGTAAGGCGACAGGGTCGGGCGAGATCCCAATGGAATTTTTGAAGGACACGGGCCGAGCAACCTTGGAGTCGCTTATTGGGTTGTTTAATGTCATTTTTAGGATGAAGAAGATGACTAAAGAATGGAGGTGGAGTTTAATGATCTCATTGTACAAGAACAAGGGAGATATCCAAAATTACAACTATAGGAATATCAAGTTGTTGAGTCACACTATAAAAGTTTGGGAAAGGGTGGCGAAGGGGAGGGTGAGGATGAGTGTCTATTTTCGAGAACCGGTTCGGATTCATACCACTATGAGAATTTGGGAAAGGGTGGCCGAGGGGAGGGTGAGGACGAGTGTGTCCATTTTCGAGAACCAGTTCGGATTTATGCCAGGGCGATCAACCACGGAAGTCATTCATCTTGTGAGGAGATTGGTGGCGCAGTATAGAGAGCGGAAGAACGACTTGCATATGGTGTTCATTGACCTAGAAAAAGCTTACGATAAAATCCCGAGAGAGGTTTTATGGAAATGTTTAGAGTTAAGGGGTATTCCAGTAGTGTACACTAGGGTGATCAAGGACATGTATGGTGGAGCTAAGACTCGGGTGAGGACCGTAGGAGGAGAATTGGAACAATTTCCCGTGGTGATGGGGTTGCATCAGGGATCAACTTTTAGTCCGTTTTTACTTTCCCTGGCGATGGATGTGTTGACGCTACACATTCAAGGGGAGGTGCCATGATGTATGTTATTTACAAATGATATAGTACTGATTGACGAGACGCGAGGGGTTAACGCTAGGCTGGAGGTTTGAAACAGACCATGGACTCTAAGGGGTCTAAGGGGTTGTTTGGTAGGATGCATTAGATAAAATAATGCATGCATTAGCTTTGTGTATTAATAATACCTTGTTTGGTATACTTTTTGAACCTATGATTAGTTATGCATGGGATAATACCAAATAACTAATGTTTAGGATGATAGGGTTGTATAACTAATGCTTACATAATTAATGCATAAGAAACCATGGTATTAACACTGCAATAGGCTTTAATGCATGCATTAGCTTAGTTAAAGACAAAATTGTCCTTCAAAATTTATGCTTGATCAAAATATGTTATTATATTAATGCAAGTTTGAAATAATCCAAGAAAGTGGAAAATAAAATCATATCCCTAGTAAATAAATAAATACTTTGGTATTTTTTTATTATATAAATATTCAGTTTTATACTACAATATAAGTAGACAAATCAAATAATTTTTTTTAACCTTTTTCATATATAAAAACATTCCTCAACATATGTTTCTTTTAAAAAGATAAAGTGATGGCCTGGTTATGAGGGTATTTTTGTAAACAAACAATTCTTTTAGAAATTGTGCAATGCTTAAATATATCAAACCAAACAATGGACAAGAAATATGTCAGCATACCTAATATCAACATATTCAACATTATTCTTATACACCCTACCAAATAAGAATAATGTATAGTGCTGGTATAAAAATTTAATATCACCTTAATACTTTGTTTGGTTAGCAAATCAGGTATAAGTTATCCCGGGATAACTTATACCTTATAGAGGGTGGGGTAATTAGCACCGGGATAACTTATACCTTCTTCTTAGAAATTATGCAATTATCATTTTTAATACAACATACCAAACAATGGATAATAAACAATCTCAGCATAACTTATCCCGGCATAAGCCGTATTCAAACCAAACGACGCCTAAATGTTTCAAGTTGAACAAGACCAAAATATTATACTTGGAATGCAAGTTCAGTGATGGACTCATGAAGTAGAAGTGGACGTGAAGCTTGATAGTCAAGTCATCCCCAAGAGTGAAAAGTTTCAAATATATTGGGCCTGTAATCCAGGGTAACAAGGACATTAATGAGGATGTTACACATCGTTTTGGAACAAGGTGGATGAAATGGAGGCTCGCATCTGGTTATCTGCAAGATAAGAGTGTGCCACCATTTCTATAAGGCGGTAGTTAGACCAACTGTGTTGTATAGGGCTAAGTGTTGGCCAGCAGAGAAATCTCATGTCCAGAAGATGAAAGTATCAGAAATGAGGATGTTGAGATAGATGTGTGCGCATACCAGGAAAGATAAGATTAGGAAAGCTATTCAGGACAAGATAGGAGTGATCCCTATAAAGGACAAGATGCAGAAATCGAGGCAGAGGTGGTTCGAGCACATTAAGAGGAAATGCATAGAGGCCCCGATTAGGAGGTGTGAGAGGTTGATCATGGTGAGTCTAAGGAAGGGTAGAGGTGGGTAAAAGAAGTACTGGGAAGAGGTGATTAGGTAGGACATGACATTGCTTCAGCTTATCGCGAACATTAACCTCCACACTTTCCTATCAAGGGTAATGTCCTTGGTAGATAACATTGCTTCAGCTTACCAAGGACTAAATATTGTCTTGTGCACTGTTTTATCATAGAAAAACTACATGTTTCATTTGGCGATTTATAGTAGATGAAAATTTCTCTGCGTAGAAATGAGCTGAGTTACTTGGTTGGGGGTGGGNCATATTCAATCTCCTTATCTGGAGTACTAATTAAAACCAACAAAAACTACCAAATCACCTCAATTCTTCTCCATTTTTTCACCCTATATGTATCGTCTTCTTTTATGGAAAAAACAATACATAAAAATAGAAAATGGGAGGGAGATGCATAAGCAACGCTCAAAATATCGAACGTTCAATTTTTTTCTGGGATAAGGCCATGTTTTGGTTGTGAAAGTGAGCCACATTGGGTGTGGGGTGTGGGAGGTAGGCAAGTGGGATGGAAACAAAGAGTGATAAAAACGAGAATGTTGTTTAAATTTTCTTATTTCACGCACTTAGTTTTGTTTGAGATGCACGTATGGTTCCACATCTGCATTGAGTGTTCAATTGACACACTTTTTAGTAACATGAAGAGTTCAATAGATCAGACCCTTAGATAAGATGTTTAAATGAAAAATGGTGGCAAGTTTAAGTGTGTGTGTATATATATATATATGTATGTGTGTGTATATATATATATTTGTTAAAGTAAGTTGAATTCATAATCTCAACCACCATACTAGAAACAGATATAAACTGCATAAGAAAGCTCAAATGACTAAAAGAACCTCCACAAGTAATTAAGTTCTCACCGTATTTGAAGGTGCTGGTTGCGCAGCTGAGGTTGCACTTGTTGAAACCTTATTCTACAATGAACATGGGAGGACAAAAATTGGATATGAACCAGCATCAGCGAAAAAAATAAATAGAGATATCCTTATTCACACAGCTCATGGAAGGAAAAGTACCCTTAAAATCATCCAGGAAGAACATCTATTTCTAACAAAACAATAGAAAAAACCTTGTGGAGCACATGCTTATATTATTCCAAAGAGTTGGTACCTTAGCAAGCATTATAACAACAAAACTATTCTCAGCGACTTTGTTTTCCTCCAACGTTGCAGTGTCCTTGAGAACTTTACCCTGGTGGATAAGCATCTGTTGTGCAGCCGGGTAGACAGCTTGACCTTGAGCTGTTTCTATGTTTTTCTTCACATCAGCAACCTGAATATTTATTGCTATGGACATCAGTTTGTGCAACAGAGGAAAAAGGGAAAGAAGAAGGAAAGAAAGAAAGCACTGGTAGAGAAATTACAACCATGAGTGAGATCAGGGCTTTTTGTTTAAAAGTAGCACGACGCTTGCAATGTTGTACTGATTATTTTGGGTCAAGTTACTCTATTATTAAAAAGGAAAGGGTGGAAACATCTGAAGTACACAAAGAGGGTTAGCTAGGAAGACGAATAAACAACAAAAAAAGCAAAATTAGGAAGGTAAAATAGCTGTAACTGCTGCACAAGCTGCTCAATGTCTGCACACTATTCTTTGGACTAAAAGAAAGGAAAGAGAATCACAAAAAGACGAAAAAGAAAAACCGATATAAAAGAAAAGGCAAACATAAAAACTAAAAAACAACGCAGCACATCTTCTGAATTCTCTGCATGCAGAAGGTTTCATCATCCTCATGGCACGATGCAATTCTATTCTCATCTTCTACCTCCTGAAACGTTGTTTCGAGTGGCTGCAGCTCAAGAACACCGGGCCAAACCGATTTGCATTCATAAGGGCTTTATAAGGGAAGCGGGCCCTATAAAGTGTTAAAAAGGGACCTTGGGCCTAAATTCAATTCCAAAAGCTAGCTCATGAGGTGAGGATTGCCCAAAACAAGGAGACAACAAGTCATTCCCTCAACCAATGTGGGAACACCCCAACCCCCCNTAATTGAACTCCAAAAATAAGGGAACCTTGGTTCAAACCATGTGGAACCTTTAGCATAAGCGAACCTTGATATTTTCTGACCAAATATCCCTATTCAGTCTTACCTTCCAAGTGACGCCATCACTAGATGCCACTAAATTCTCAGAAAGCCAACACTTATTTTCTTTAAGATAAAAAGAATTGCTTAGGGAAAGTGAAGACCTTGTTAGATGACAACGATGTGTCCACATGAAACAAAATCAGAAATTAACGGAGAAATATAAAAGAAAAATCTAAGTGCCGATGAAAATCTTTTAAACGTTATCTCAAGAACAATCTTCTGCCTTGCACCATCTATTATATCGATATTGATCCAAGAAGTATAGGTTTGTCCTCAAACAAAATGAGATGAACGAAGCAATCTTATATTCAAATTGTTTTAGCAATGAATTAATAATGAGATGGACGAAGCAATCTAAAGTATATAATCATTGAGACAAAGTATGATATTAAGAGAAAGAAAGAGTCCTAGAACGTAGAATCAACCATTCGGATAATACATAATCCCTCTGTTTCAGTTTAGATGACACACTTTTCTTATTAGTCCGTTCAAAAAAGAATGACATTTCTACAATTGGAAATAATTCAACTTTAAACTCTTCATTTTACTCTTAATGAGAAATTTTTATAACCACACAAATGTCATGGCCCCACAAAGCTTTTACCCCTCAAGCTTTTAAGACCACAAGTTTCAAAAGTATTTTTCTTTTCTTAAACTCCGTGCCGATTCAAACTACCTCATCTAAATTGACAGGACATTATTGCTTTTCAAAACTTAGTTGACTCTTTTTTGAAGGAGAAACTCAAAATTGAACACGAGAAAATCGTGAAGCAGTCCTGACACCACTCAATCGACAATCAATCACCTTTCCAACAGAAGGAAAGATTGTCAATTGTACTTTTTCTTTTTTGTTTGTCCTGCCTTCCTTTCTTTTTGTCGAGGGTAGAGGAAAGTAGTGACAAGAAGGAAAAATCCTATTTCTACCTAGATCATTCTCTTTCCTATTCCTAGCAAGTTATTGTATCACATAACTTACCTAGCACTCTAACCAAGGTCGTGCTAAAACACAGAAACTCCATTAACACAACCAATTGCTCCAGTAACATTAGAAACAATTAAAATCACTCTCAAGTCCCAACTCAATTAAAATCACTCCCAACTACCCTTCCCAGAAAAAACGAGAATACTTGCACCCAAGCTTCCACCTGTTGGACTCAAGAACAAAATAATAATTTAAAGCATTTCTTTAACCTAAGTTTTGATGCAGATAGTCCTGTAAGGTGATGCGGAAATGTATAAACTAAAGAGTCCCCAACAGTCGCAGCAGGTATTTGCTCTTCATAGTGCAATAATAATAGCAGGACTGTATGGAATCTACTCAATAGTAAACAATCATTTATCCGAATCCAAATCCAGTTCTACTCAAGCAATCCGCATAAAATAACCCAAAATTAGCCGAGGTGCACGCAAGCTGGCAAGGACACCACGTTTATCAAAAAAAATCCTAAAATAACTTCACAGCATTCTATACTATCAATCCACGAATCAAAACAACAACAATATCAATATTACTTTAAATAACCTACAATTCGCAAACAAAGCTGCCACTCTACAGCGATTGATTTAGCTTTCACCAGGACGCCACTAACTTTGACTCGAACTATATAGAGTTGAATTTTTGTCATAACAAGTCGGCATTTACTATTACAGGAATAGTTAGGAGTATCACTGACTTAAAATCCTGAATCCACGCCAGCTGCTTGGAAACCCTAATCAGAGTCCAACCGCCGCCTACAACTCCTCAATTTGCTAATTGCACACAACTTCACAAATATAGACCCATGAAAGCATGAATATACAATTTAAAAAGATAAGAGAGATAAATCGATAGGTACCGTGTCTTCGGGTTTCACTTCGATCTCAAAGTGAGTGCCTTTCAAAGTCTTCACAAAAATCTTCATCTTCAACCTCTCGTTTACACGTCCTTCCACTTCCGTCACCGTCGTCTGCAACTTCCGGTCGCCGCCGGCGGTAAAAAAAGATGTGTTAAGTCTGCAGAAAGGAGAAAGTCTCGAGCAGAAAGTTTTATACTGAAAAAGGGTAGCTAATGTCTTTATCACGCTTTATATACTTGAGAAAAGAAGGGTAATGATTAGGTTACCCCTGCGTCGCGACAGCTCAGAATCCACCAATAATATGAATACACGTCGAGTACAACGTGGAGCTAGTTGGATAATTCTCATTATTTTAACCTAACTCATCTTAATTCCAATATTAACTATACGCGAATTAGTCATGATTCAGTTATAAACTAATCTCTTTAGATCCACCTAAATTTAGCTCCAATAGTCAATTTGACACTTCTTCTCTTGACTACTATATTATCTTCTTTGATGTTTAACCAAAAAATAAAATTTCAGTCAAAGTTAGAATTTAGAAGAATGCGGGTTACTGATAATCAAAAGAATATGTAGAAGAAAGTAATTTAGAGTAACCAGAGTGTAATCAGAAGAAAAACAAGTGAATCAAAGTATATTCCGATTGTGTCTTGTCTTTACAAGTGATCAGATACCACCCTTTTATAGGTATCTTGAAGATATGTGTTTCCTCCAAATCATAATGAGGCTATTATGAGTAATTAAAGACATTGAATGCTATGTTACACAATCATTGTAATCAATACAAATTCTCTAATGTATCCAGTATTTAATGCTTGTCGAATTCCGTATATGCGCTCTTTATTATGGTCAGATCTATTCCTTTTGATAAATGATTTAAATAGGTACGGGCGCTGAATCCTTCAAATGTTCCCCAGTGCCTCTTCCTTTGCCTTTGCTCGTTTCTACTACTGCCCGTGCCTCTTGACTAATTATAATTCTTTGACTATTTGACCAGTCCATGTGTCTCAACATGTCACTTGCATATATAAATGCAATTTTTCCCAATACAGATAGTCCCCCCACTTTTCATTTATTCATCAATTGAATATTTGGGAAGTGGATTTCATTAAAACGAGAATTTTTGTCACCATTAATGCTATGACAAAATTAACGCTTCAATTGTCACTTCCATTTAATATTTCGTACACGTATCAATTTTCCATTGGCTCTGCAGTTTTTGCAGCCTTTTTCAAGGTTTTTACGGTTCCACTATTAATGAAGTGCCAGTTATCATAATTATGGTTTTTTCACCTCCGCACTTTTGCCTTTGGCGGTTGCTTATCGGTATAAATATAATTTTTTCCCTTGTATTTTATCACATAAAGCTTATTGAACACTTATTTCTCCAAATCTCTATTTACTTCTTCCTTAGATCATTCCTCTTCGATATGTCTTCTCCAAGCCCTAACCCTGAGAGAGTTTCCATTACTGACTCCTTCCCCAATGCCCATGTTAGGCACATAAGGGGAGGTAGACTTCGTAGTTTAGGATCTACTCGAGGTGGTTCGTCTATGCCTTCTTCTGGTTCTGGTCCTTCCTTTAGAACCAGAGGTTCCCTTTCTCACAAATCTTCCTCTAGGGGTAAAGATCATTCTGAACCTTTACGCGAACCTTTAGTAGATGAGATAGTCCCTTCAGAATTATTTTTTTACCATGACATGGAATCTCTTAGAAACCAAGTTTCTGCATTAGATCGTGTCGATACTTACCCTACTCAAATTACAGAGGTTTTGACTCCTGTGGTTCGTAAGGACTGTCATTGGAGTAATGATTTTCCCATTATTATCCCTAATCTGAATAAGAGAATTACTTCCTATTTAATTGGGTTCTCTTTCATTTATACTTACCCTTTTACTTTAGGGTTTAGACCAGCAATCGACCCAGTCATTCTTGAATTTTGTCGTTTCTTCAATGTCTGCTTGGGTCAAATTGGCCCAATCATCTTGTTTAAGGCATTTAGCCACTAAAGCTGAAGCTCTTTTTACTTTCCCTCACTTGATTCATCTTTACTCACCTAGGCTTTTTCGTAATGATGTTTTTACACTAGTAGCCAGAAGTAAGAGGGTTTTGGTGAGCCCTGAAGATGACAAGGATCGTGGCTGGTATGCCCGATTTGTTGTTGCCCCCACTGTTGGTTTAGTGGGTGAAGATAATGTTCCCTTCCCTAAAGTGGAATTTTGCACGTATGTCTTTTATCCCTCTCGTACCTTCTTCTTTCAAGTTTATCAGTTTTTCTAATTTTACCTCC